GTGCGAGGGTTCTCCAGTGCCTCCCCACAATTCCCAGCATGTGCTTTGAAGACAGACAAGTTCACTCACAATGCACTAGCAAAGATTCACAATAAAGCTCATTTTACCACAGCACAAAGAACTATGGTACATGTTCATCACCCAAGTTAACTCTGCAGTGAAGAGATGGCCTAAGTTTGTTACCATTAAAGCATTTCTATAGCACCTGCAGTTTGGTACTGAAACCTAGGCATCTCATATAGCAACAAACAAAAATAATGGGTCACTTAAAGATCTATTTACAGTTAATGCTGCACTGCATTTAAACACCCTCTGCAATCATCAGTATGTACTCATGAGGAAAATTCATGGAATACAACTTTTCAAAATTTCAGATTGCCTTTTAAATCTTAAGTAATTGTCGGATCTCTCTTGCCAGACAACTAGATAACTAACTGAAGGCCAGAGACCAAGGACTTACTTTCAGTGTTTGGAATAGGACATAAATGTTTCTGGCTTCCACTGCTGTGTTCAGACAGTATATTCAAGCAAAGAAAAGCAAATCTAGGCAAAGTCAAAGGGAAAGAGCAGATATCCGAATATAGCACAAGAAGATATTTGAATACCAAATGCCTCTGCAAATCCTGGCTGATTCAAACAGCTTAAAGGGACACAGTGAGTGCATCTATATGTACCATTAAGGCAAAGTGATAGACTCTGGGGTTTGCACTGGAGTCAGCTACTGCCAGGAGCAGCATCTGCACATGCGCCCAGGACCACAGCAGTTTGAGCTGGGGTGGAGCAGCCCTAGACTAGCAACAGGCTTGCGGGGGGTAGGGGTCAGCCCCAGGATCCAGGTGGCAGCATCAGGCAGTGGAGGGACTGGCTGGGGAACAAGAGTGCAGAAATTGCAGAGCCGTGTGGCTGACCCCCCAAGCCTGCTGCCAGCCCAGGGATGTCCACCCCAGCTCAAACTGTAGAGGTCCCAGTCACGGTCCATATGTGTGTTTCTGTGCAGTAAATGACTCTGCCCTAATACTGACACACATGTATATGATGACATTTTACTGTGGAGCTAATTAGTCAATTCCACAGTAAAGTGCACATGTAGATGCACCCAGTCAGATCAATTTAGGTTCCACATTCAGGTTTTATATATAGAACTTATTACACAAAATGCCTCAGATTGAAATCTAAATACTGCTGTACACTGGTAATGTATAAAAGGAGGAAGAGTACTGCTTTAGTAAATGGCTATAAACAAAACTTAGATAGTCTAAGAAAAATGTAGTACAGATAAGTTACATACCATGGATTATGTTTCTAATATTCTTCCAGTTTCAGTAATGTGAGGTGACAATAATAAAAATAAAGAAGTACAGTGAGATAAGTAAAGGCATTTTTTTTAAATTAAATTTTAATCAGTGTCATTTTGAAAAAGCTTAGTATGCACTGATTTTTCATTTGTAATGTTGTTCCATTAGCATTTCTAATTCCTGCAGTTGCAAATCTATAGTGTTCCAATTTGTATTATGGCAACTCTATGTTACCCTAGTGATTTCATGAAGTATTACTTGCTGGATTCATTACTGTTTTCCTGCAGGATAAGATGTGAACTTCAAGTGGTAAGAAAAATACTAATTACACTCAGTTTTATTAGCAAATAAAACTGGATGCTTCTAAATTGGATAATTCTAAACTAATTTTAATGAGAGGCTCAAGGATTTTCTAGGTCAAAACAGCCCATCTGTGTTTGTCCAAAAGTAAATAGCAAGCCATTCATATTAATATGAAATGTAGCAACTCCTAACTGAGGTGAGGAATCATATTTATATTTTTGCACAATTAAAATGTTATAATATTACAGGCTAAAAATATTGGAGACTTTCCTCTAATTCTGTCCCGAAATACATGTCAGTTAGTGGAGCAACTCTTCAGAAGCCAAATTCACATCTTATCAAAGGACAGCTTTTATATTGAATCTGACCCACAAGGTTGTGAAAGCAAGCCAGCTGGTAGGCTTTTTATTCTTTCTACTGACCCAAGCACACTCCATTGTGGAAACGGACAGACAAGAAGATGTCTGTGGGACAGTGTCAGTAGCTTCATACCCTGCTGTTCACTCAATACTAAGGAGTTTATGATCAGCAACAGCTTCTACCACAGATCAGGTAAGCTACATACCGATCTCGTGATGTACAGGCTGCACAATGCTAAAGCACAAAGTATGCTAAAAATCACCAGTTGCTGTCAGAGCCAGGAGTGGTATCATCAGTTCTGTGCCTTATTATCTGCTGCTCTTCTATAGCTTGCTGGTAAAAATGCATGTCATTTAGAGTTCAAACTCCTTACATATATTCCCAGTGTTAAGGCATGTGGAGAGAACATAAACGGCAGGAAAGCTGTTAGGTGACAATAACTGTGGACTCAGAGAATAATTGTGGAATAGAGTCCTTTCTAATCCAACTACCTGTTATGCAGAGACTTCAAGTTGGAAAAACAGTAGAAGAGACAATAAAGGATAGGAAAGGAAAAGGAGGAAGACAAAAGACAAGAAGAGATAGTAAGAAGAGTAGTGTGGTACAGATCTATACAGAAATTTTTTTTTCCAGCTACTTAGTTGGTCTAATAAAAACTATCACAATTACCCAGAGAACCTTGTCTGCCTTTTAAAAAGTAAGAAACCCATAAGTATTGTGCATATTTTGTTAATATATAAAAAAATAAAGGAAAGACTTCCACCTATATCTTTTAAGTTTCACCTTTTCTTCTGTAGGCATCACTGGCCCCCTTTTCTCTTCTCATCCATCTCTTTCTCTTCTCATACCGTTTCCCATTTACTAGTTCTCACTTTCATCTGCATTCATTTGTCTTTACTAACACACATGCTCACAGGGAAGGTTTTCAAGTGCTTGTCCAACCATTCTGTTAAACTAGCATGAAGAAGCCGGTCTTAAATTAAAAAGGAAAAAAAAGAAAAAAAGAAATAAAGACTCTGATAAAATGGAACATTCCTTTATAAATTAGAGGACATAAATTGCTGCTTTGTCAACCAGGAGAGCGAATACCAGGCTCAATATGTCAAGAAATTGTGACAGTACATAAAGGACCATAGCTTAGAACAGCTTACTGAAACAATGACTGAAAACAACTTCCAGAAGTAATCAGGGCAAGGTGAAGGGTTTAAAGTACAATTGATGTGTTTGACAAGAGTTATTTACTGAACACCAGAAAGAGCAGTTGTCCCTGAGGCTGTAAGAAGTAACCTGACTTGGTATAGTACGAAGAGTGTTTGCTTGGGTCCAGCACTGGATAAAAGGCTGAAGTCAACATTTACTACATTTGCACTGCATCATTCATCAGAAAGTATTGTCTGGAGAAAGCACTCAGGATAAGAAACATAATAGTCATTGACATTTTAAAAGTCTCATTTGTTCTTATGAAGAAAACATCAAGAGGAAAAACAGAAAGAAGTTTGACAAGCTTTCAGACACACACTGCCCGAGGACCTGAGAAAGGGCAGTAAGTGTCCAAAAGTTTGTCAAACTTGTCTCCCAACTATACAGTTACCCAGTAAAAGACATCACAGAACTCGTGCCTCTCTAAGAGAATATCCTAACTAGTCAGTCAAATACTGGACAAAAAAGGTGCACAGTATGGAGGTCTTATGTATCCTATGGCAGGCTACTAAGGACAGGTCATGTTCTATGTAGTACACTGTCTACAAGAAAAACCATAGACATTACCTGCACAGGGTCCTGTATAATCTAGAAGAGAAATTTCTCAGACACGCTGTCCATGCTGCTCTGGGACATACTGCATCTCTGTAAATTAAGCCCCAGCTCTACAAGGTGATAAGCAAGTCCTGCATGGTTCTGAGCTCCCACCTAAGTCAATGGAAGGTGAAAATGTCCAGCACCTTTAAGTAGTGCCCAGCATCTTAACAGGACCATCACGTGCTTTTGGGTCAGGATTTGCACTTACTAAATAGATTTCTTTGCTCTTAACTGGGAGGAAAACCCATATAAAATATTCAGAGATAATTTCCTACAGTGTAGGATTAGCTTGGGTTATTTATATTTCAGAACAGTTCCCCTCAGAGCTCTACAGGCTTGTACAACTTAAATGTATAACTGGAAAAAAAAACACAACAGATTCATTGTAAACTCTGAAAACGAGCAGAGAGCATCAGACATTCCAAATAACGGAGGATTTTCCCTCTCCATCTCTATAGATGCCCTATGACAGGAGCACAAACTATCTTTCGTCTTAAATGTATTAGTCATAGATGTTAAACGATCTTTGCTTGTTATGAAGGATCCTTCTAAAACAGTGGTTCCCAGCCTTTTCAAATAATGGCACGAGTTTCCCTGATGGGCACTGTACCAGCCACCGCCTGCTGCCTCCTGTTCAATCCTGCATACATAATTAATAAATAATAATAATCCTTTATGTGTTTGCTTATCTCCCAAGAACTATACGTACGTGAAATAATGTTCAGAGCAGCATCACGCTTGTAAATATAACCATACCCGCGTTACACAGACAGCAAACGAGGTGCAGAAGATAAAAGTGTCTTGGCAAAGACTAGCCTAGCAAAGGGAACCCAGGTGTTTCTGGCTCTTTGCCTGGGATTTATCTGACATTTCGTTCAGACGCTCAAGCTGCATCGTGCATGCAGTGGCAGACAGCCGCCTGCCCGCACAGGGGAGTACAGAGACATGGCACGGAGGCAGAGGGGGGCCAAAATTAAGACTGGAGAAGCACCAGCAAGGTTGCAAGGTCACAGGATCCGGTGTCATGACATTTAGGCTGTTGCGTGGCCTGATGCCCACCGTGTCACCCCAGCCAGGCTGCGAAAGCGCAGACACGGGGCAGGACTTCCCTCCGGCCTGGAAAGGGATTTGGAAGGGGAGGGGGTTGGGTGTTGGAAAGGATGCACGGGGCACCCCAAACAAGCGGGGGGGGGTACTCCCCTCGCCCAACCTTGAGTACATGGTGCACGGGGGTCAGGCTCCTACCTGCTGCTCATTTCCTCCTGCAAGGAGAGGGGAAGGGGGAACACCCCTGCCTTTCCCCACACCGGCCCACTGGGAAAAGGACCTAGACTGGGCCCCCCAGCGGTGCACAGCCGGAAGGAGCCGGGTCTCCCCCTGCCCCGCGCGCACGCACAGGCTCGCAGCCTGCCTGCCCGAGGTGCTGCCAGCCTTCGCCTTAGGAGCAGGCAGCTGCAAGGCCTCTGGTTGCCCTGGCAACCAGTTGATTTGCATGGCTTCATTACATATTCATGACCTCCAGCCCTTCCAAGGGTACCTCCCAGCAAGGGTGGCTGCTGGGAGAGGCGTGCTCCTGCATTTCCCTTCTCCTGTTGTGCTGTGCTCTGCTGCTGGCATGGGCCCAGGGGCCTGGCCAGCCTGCGGCTGCTGCCTCTCACAGCCATGCCCACAGAAAGTGCCCCTGGGAGGCCTCTTGCTGTCCCCGGTTTCTTCCCTTGCCGACTGCCTTGGCCAACAGAGACCCTATGCGCTCGCCAGCTCTCTCCGCTTCTCTGCACCCCCATGCCACACTCCCCAGGCTTCCCACTCCCACCCCAGCCAACCTCAGCCAACCTCTTCTGCCTCGACATACCTTGCCCTTTCCAGCTCCCTCGCTGACCCTCTGCCTGCACAGCTCCAACATCCCCCCAGACTCGCCCCTCCCACCCCGCCTCTGCATAGCCTCCATCGTGCCAGCCTTGCAAAGGCCTCATTCAATTCCTGGCCTCCCAGCACACACATACCATCTCCCAGCCTCCTTGGTAGGGTGGCCATCATAGAGGAAAGTCCGGTTTTCTGCTACTCTGTCCTCTATTGATATGAAACCCAATGCCTTTATGTCCTCTATTTATATTCTCTTCAAGAAAGGTGTCTGGTTTCGTATCAACAGAGGACAACCAGTCTGTCCTCTATGATGGCCACCCTACTCCTTGACACCGTCCCACCCCAGTCCCCTCTGCCCCTCCGCACGGCACTCTGCAGGCTCTCGGCTCACTTGGGTCACATCTGGTCCTGCACAACTTCCACCCACCCAGTCTCCTCACACCCCTATCTGCATTACCTCGCCTCAG